AACCTAAAACCTGTAATGATGAACCATCAATCATCAATCAGAAACCAAAACCTAAACCTAAAACCTGTAATGATGAACCATCAATCATCAATCAGAAACTATCAATGCACGACTCTGTAGACCAGCATTCATAACCCATGAATCACAAATCTCAGACCTACCTACGCAAGCGCAGAACTGGGACTTAGGACCTGAAAGCTGAAATCATCAAGCATCACTCAAGACCTATCAATCATAGACCTGAGACCCCAAATGTACTTCCTAAGAATATTGTAAAAACCACTGACCAAAAAGTGTGAGTATTGGGAAAACCATAGACCAAATCATGAACATTGTGAAAACCACAGCATAATGTCATCAAAACCATGCTCATTTTAATAAAGAATGAAAAATACACTCATATTCCAGTCTAGATTTATTATAGGAAACGGGTTTTTGGAGGCATGAACTGGGATGTTATATATGAGGTCGGGTCGGTCACCTGGTCGCGCCTCGCACCTCGTGGGCCCTTTTCGTTCCCCCTCCCTCGTGTCACAAGGTGATTGAATGCGCGTAGAGGTATGGCTCTGTAGTGTAGCGGTCATCACTCAAGATTCTGATGATATGGTTTAAACGTAGCGTCTCGTATTCTTGAAACCCAGGTTCGATTCCTGGCAGGGCCTTGATCGTTTCTTTATGAAGTTTATATTCTTTTGTTTTAGGGATTAGGGATTGGGTAGATCCTAAGGCTAATGCCAATGCTAATGGTGCACATCCGAATCGCCATATGCATCATGATGATTAATATTGCAATTCGAATAAATTCATCACTCTCACCACCGTTAATGACGTGACCTCGGCTACGATACCGGGTACCACGACCGTCCTCGTCGTGAATATCCAGTCTAGATTTGTTATAGGAAACGGGTTTTTGGAGGTATGACTGGGATGTTATATATGAGGTCGGGTCGGTCACCTGGTCGCGCGACGCGCCTCGCGCCTCGTGGGCCCTTTACCTTCTCCCTCCTTCGCGTCACAAGGTGATTGAATGCGCATAGAGGTATGGCTCTGTAGTGTAGCGGTCATCACTCAAGATTCTGATACGGCTTTCCATGGGATCTACTACATCGTGTTCTTGAAACCCAGGTTCGATTCCTGGCAGGGCCTTTGAGTCGACTGAGTTATCACATGTTGTTCTTTTTGCGGTGGTGGGTCTATGTAGGGAAATTAAGCTTTCATGTAACGTACATAATGATATGTATGGGGATTGTCAAAGCCATAGTCAAACGCCGAAATGTTTAACGTTGCACGATGAAAGATTGGATGGAGCGTCGATCGCCAATCGAAAGAAATTGATCGCGATGATCTCTCCTCTGGACTCCCACCACCACACATAACAGGCATGTCCGACCCACCACCACCGTCGAACATCACCCTCCCTTCCTCCCCGAACACTCGCCACGCCTTCCTCGACGCCCTCCTCGCAGCATGCACGCCCTCCGACTTGCAATACCTCTCCACAGCCCTCTCACCCCTCTTCCCTGCCGCCTCGCCTTCCACGAAATCCAAGTCAGACGATTTACCCCCGGAACTATGGCTACTCGTGTTCGGGTACGTCGAGCACCCCGCGGCGCTGTTGAGGCTAGGGACGGTGTGTAGGGCGTGGGGAGCGCTGGTGAGGGAGGAGAGGGTGTGGAGGGGGCTGTGTTTGCGGTGGGGGTTTATGCTGGGTACGGGTGGGGATGGGGATGCGATGGGAAGGTTTCGGAGGGGGTTTACTAAGAGTGCGTTCGTTTGTTCATTTGCTGAGTACCAGTTCATTGACACTGTACGATACTTGTTTAGTACAGGACTGGAAACACGGGGGGCGTGTGCTGAGCGTACACGGGCTGCCCTTACTCTCTGCAGAACACCCACAGCAGCCACAGGCGCTGCAACACACAAGATCTTCCTCATCCTCTTCCCAATCCGCACCCCCGCGCTCCTCACCACGCCGCCGCGTCCCCACACCTACATCGATACCCCCATCCACGTCCACATCGCACACGGACACCCCGTCCCCAGACACAGGCGTCGTCACCTCCCTCGCGCTCGACGGAGACTGGGTCGTCGCAGGGCTCGCAAGTGCGCGGATACACGTGTTCAGCGCGCGAACGGGTGTGCTCGCGAGGACTTTGGTCGGGCACGAGGCGGGGGTGTGGGGGCTTTGTTTGGTTAGTGCTGGTGGGGTTGAGGATCCGCGCGGGGGGGTTAGGGTCGATGGTGGTGGTGCTGGGGGTGGGGATGGGGATGACAGGGTGGATCAGAACAGCGAAGGGGAGGGGGAAAGGAATGGGGAGGAATGGAGTGGGCAGCGGTATCGACCGGAGCGGCAGAGCAGCCCCACACACGCCTCGGTGGGGTGGGGTCAGCCACGGGCGCTCGTCGTGAGCGGGGGGTGCGACAAGGTCGTGCGAGTGTGGGACGTCTTATCCGGGTACGCTCCATTCCCTCCATTCCCTTCTCACCGCGTAACCCGATAACTAACCCCCCTCACCTCTAAACAGAACTTGCCTCCACGCCCTCCGCGGGCACACCTCCACCATCCGGTGTATGCGCGTGCTGCACAACCGACCGCTCGCACTCACGGGCGCGCGGGACGCGACGCTGCGCACGTGGGACATCCGCACGGGCACGCCGGGGCGCGTGTTCGAGGGGCACACGGCGAGCGTGAGGTGTGTGGATGTGAATGGGTGTCGGGCGGTGAGTGGGAGTTATGATGCGACTGCGAGGGTGAGTTTCGAGTTTCTTTCTCTCGTTCGTTTCGTTGGCGTTGTTAACGTGCGTCTGGTATAATCGTACTATACTAACTATGTTATCCTTGTTCTTGGTGGATGTAGATATGGGACCTAGACACGGGCGAGTGCCTGCATGTCTTGAGGGGTCACTATCAGCAGGTGTATGCGGTTGCGTTCGATGGGGTGCGCGTCGCGACGGGGGGGATGGACACGACGGTGCGTGTGTGGGACGCCGAGACTGGGTACGTTGCCATTCCATTTCCATTTCCATCCCTATCCTTCCTTCCCCCACCTTTCCCGCAACTAACCCCTGCTCAACAAACAGGCACTGCCTCGCCCTCCTGCAAGAACAGACCGGCTTCGTCTGCGCGCTGCAGCTCTCGCGCGCGCACGGGATGCTCGTCACTGGTGGCTCGGACGGGCGCATCGTCGCGTTTTCGCTGGGGGATGAGGAGGTCGAGGCTGGAGAGGGGATGTTCGATTTTGAGTGGGCGAGGGAAGCGGATAGGGGTTGGAGGGTTAGGAAGGTTAGAGGGGGGAAGGCTAGGAAGGGGAATGGGAAGGGGAAGGGAAGAGAGGTCCCGGTGAGGAATGGTAATGGGAGCTCGGTGTCGTTGTCGATGTATGCGCAGTCGCCGTCGAGTACGTCGGCGCTTTCTCTTGCGAGGTTCAACGCCAACGCCAACGCCAACGCCAACGCGTCGAGGTCTGCGCGATCCTCGTCCTCGGATTCTGAGACGGGCACGGGCTCTTCGTCGACCTTGTCATCGATACGCTCATCCCCGTCCTCCTCCCCATCACCAACTCCCGCCCCATCGCCATCGCCATTCCTACTATCTCCCCGACCATGCCCCACACCTAGTGATGGGCGCGGGTAACCCATGGGTAGTTTCAGGCCAACCCATACCCATACCCTCGAAATACCCATACCCTTGGCCAGGGGTATGGGTTACCCTTCATACGGGTCATGGGTTGGTGGGTTGTACGGGTACACGGGTAGATTTCACGGGTACAGTAGCACTGACAATGGATACATCACATGCCTATATAATATCACCCCAACGGTCATCAATTTCCAGCTCCTCATCGTGACCCACATCAGGAAGCTGTGCCGCTGCATTGAGATCCTCATCCTTTACGAGACCAGCCTTGCTCCATGCCCCGAGACACATCAATGCACGAGTTGATTCCACGCTCAAGCGGTTGCGAACATGCGAGAGAATGAGACGGCCCTTGCTGAAAACCCGTTCAACATCAACAGATGTCGCTAGAGCACTATGAGAACCAAGGGTACTGAAGTGTTTGGATAACGCACCTGGTATGCATAAATAGTTTCTTGCCATCTGCGAAAGGCGCGGAAATTCTTGACGCTTGCTGTACCACCACTTCACAGCGTCCTGAACTCCCTCCGTAGGCATTCCTAAGTATTTTTCGAGCTCAGTGCGCAGGTCAGATGCTGCCGGCCCCTTCTTGAACCTTGAAAGCATCTCGAACATGTTTTTTGCCTTGTCTGGTGATGCCGAATCATCAGTCTGTGTATTCTACGTGAAGTCAGGCATAATTTGATAGAATAAAACCACGGCTTACCTCTCCCAATTTTTCGTCACTCTCTATGATCTCCAGGTCTGCATAAGCCCTTTCAAATTCATCCTCAACAATTCTGCGTGCCGTATCGATCCAATCTTGCTCCCATCTTGCCTCCTTGAAGTATTCCAGCTTGTGCTGAGGATGTAGAACTACAAAACATCAATTAACATTCTGAACGTAGTCAAAATTAATGGAGTACATACCCATAGCGATTCTATAGACCTCTGAATGATCAGTCTTATCATAATACTTATTGAGAAGTTGTTTTCCCATGGAGAGCGCAGCTCGTATTGAGGGGAGATAGATGTCATCGATCGAGTTGGTGGAAAGCTGAGCATCGATGTGGTCCATTGCTGGAATGACCTTCGCAAGATTTGGTGTTGACTGAGAGAAATATAGAGTTGCATCTTTAAATATCTGTAGAATAAGTTGAGAGATGAAATCGTGAATATACAAGGTCAACGCACCTTCAAAACATCATGAAGTTGGTTTACAATTTTCCATTCATACTCCGTAAGCTCATACTTCCTCAGATTCATCTCTCGATTGCCCGTAAGTGCATCAATTGCCGCTTTGTACTGGATCGCGAATTCGAGCATGAGATAAGTTGAGTTCCAGCGGGTGGCAACATCACGAGGAATCATTCGAGCCTTTTTCTTTAGATCCTTGGTTGCAGCAGCGTGTAATCGATCAAGGAGGGAGAACCATTGTGGAAGAAGTATTGTAGATGAGTTTTTGACGGCAAGTGCAAGTTTTCGAAGCTATTTTATTGCTGAGTGAGTTTGGTCATATGTAGACGAAGATTAAATACCTTAGTAAGCACAAGTCTCACAGGTGCAACCGATTCTTCAAGCTTTTCACGCTCTGCCTCAGACAGCTCTTCACGAACGTCAATCATGCCAACCTCACTATCATCAATCTCATCCTCCACTTCTGTATCATCATCCTCAAGATCCTTTTCGAGCTCTGCCATCAATTGAGCTGCCTCATCAAGTGCAGCATCAGCGTCATGTTTTGGTATGTCAAATTGGCGCAATACTGTTTTGCAAACCAAATTGAGAATGTGCGCAAAACAGCGAGTGCGATTTGCAGCACCAGGGAATGCCTTCACCAGTTCAGCAAGGCGTTCAATCATTGAGTCGTTTGCAGAAGCATTGTCGCATGTTATACTGAGCATCTATAAGAACAAGGTGAGTATCAAATTTCCTGAGCGAAATTAGCACTTGCCTTATCAGACACTCCAAAATCATCTAGAATCTCAGCAAAAGCAGCTGCAAGATTTGCTCCAGAATGCGATTTCGCAACCTCAACAAGATCAAGGAGAAGAGAGATCGGTACACCATTCTGTTCAAAGTGAACAGTCACCGCAATGTACGACCGATGATTTGGGGATGTCCAGGCATCAGTACCGAAGCTGAGCATCCCCTCGTACTCCTGCATCCATGGTAAGCAACGACGTGACTCTTTCTACTTATAATTCTGACTGACTTGTAGTATTTTTGCCACCCGTTCTCGAACTTTCTTGAAGACTTCATGCACATCACGGGCGACAGTTCGGCGTGAAGGTAAGTAGTACTCCGGTCTTCCTGTCTTCATCAAACGCTTGAAGCCTGAATCTTCAACAATACTAAACGGTCTCATGCTTTCAGCACACCAGCAAACAATTTCGACCCTCAAGATCAGTTAGAAGAGTCTGCAGTAGGATTATTGAAGGAATACACACCGGGTTTCATTACGGGACATTGGACGATGCGAGTATGTCACTTTTCCTTTTCCGATGCGCTGAAAAGTTGCTGTAATAGA